AGAGGGAAGTGAAACCACTTCAACAAGAGTAGTGGTTCAGTTTTCGGCCCCACACTACAGGGATGACATTGAGATACTGAAGCATGTCCAGAGAAGGGCAACGAAGCTGGTAAAGGGTCTGAGGCACAAGTCTCATGAGGAGCCGCTGAGGGAGCTGGGGTTGTTTAGCCTGGAGAAGAGGAGAGTGAGGGGAGAACTTATTGCTCTCTACAACTGCCTGAAAGAAGGTTGTGGTGAGGTGAGTTGGGTGTCTCTTCTCCCTAGAAACAGGTGATAGGACAAGAGGAAACAGCCTAAAGTTGCACCAGGGGAGGTCTAGTTTGGACATTAGAATTAAATCACTACCAGGGCGATTAAATAAATACTGGAGTAAGATTCCCAGGCAGGTGGTTGAATCACCATCCCTGGAGGTCTTCAAAAGATGTACTGACATGAAACTAAGGGACTTGGTTTAGCTCCAGATTACTAGTAGAGTTAGGTTATGATTGGACTTGATGCTTAAAGGTCTTTCCCAACCAAACAACTCTATTATTCTATAATGTAGAAGCATGATTCTTCTTCCACCTCTGTCCCTCCTTAGGTGTCTGTGCCTTAAAGTTCCTTGAGGAGCCAATTTCCAACTTTGAAAGCTTAAATAGTAACACACTGAACAAAACTGCTGCTCTGTACTACTTGGGACAATGCAAGGAGCTGCCAGAGCTTCTGCTGTAGAAGAATCTGTTAACAGGTTCATGGGTCTTGCCTGGAATATATGTTTTAAATTCTGCCTATTGCAATCCCTGTTCATCGCTGAGTGATGTAGGTTACTATTTTGTTAGAGCAATGCATGCCACCACACCTTTGCTCTACTGCACTGCTTCCTTAATACAATGTCTGAATGGGCTTTAACTGTGCAGCTTGGCAGTCTTCACCTGAAAAGGCTGATGGGAGTCACTCAGAAGGGTTAGAAAACTTGTTGCACTGATTAAACCTTTCTACCCACCATCTCCCAGAAGAGAGGCACTAGAATTGCTCCATGTTTAAATGCATTACTCCTACCGAAGGCCAACTCCCATCAGCTGCAAGGGAAACACTCCTTACTTTGTTAGTCCCTTCAGCAAGAGTAATAAACGGATTATTAAAGAATAATTAAAACCAGCCTAGCATTTTGTTGCTTTGGCTTTTTTTTGTTGGGTTTTGTTTGTACTTTTGTTGTTGTTTTTTTGTTTGGTTGGGGTTTTTTTTCCCTCCTTAGAAGGAGGGCACCTTGGTACTTCAAATGTAAAAATGTAAGAATTTGCAAACAGCATTTTTTTTCTTGGGATGAAAAAAAGAGGCAATTACAACCTATCCAGCATTTACCACGAGGCTTTTAGTTTTCCAGCAGCAAAAGTGATAAAGAATAAGGCTAAAGATGATTTCAAAACACAAAAACAGGAGGGAGAGAAGGTTTTGTCTTGCTTTAGCTAACCACCAGTTTTCCCCCCAAACAACCTTACCTTTAGTCATGTTTGGCCATCTTCCTCTTCCCACAGCTGCTCTCTCGAGTTTTTTTTTAATGTTCGTTTGGCTTCTCTGGAATGAGCTAAGTGTGTTTTATAGAGGAAAACTAATGGTTAAATTAAGCCAAACCCTGAGGCACCTTTCTGCTCAGAAGACGGGACACACCATTCCACTCAGTGGCATTATCTATTCCAGCAGGCATTTTTGGTTTGTACTTTTCACTGCATTTTGGTGTACCCACTGTACTGGAACTCTTAAAGAACAAGCCACAGAGCATAAGGTGAAATGAGGATTTATTTGTTGAAAAATAAATATAAAAAAATTAACAATTTACCATTTGAAGAAAAGTCTCCTGCATTAGATTAGTGCCTCCCACACACTCAGCAATCTGCATCCACGATGATCATCACTGGGCTCCAAACTTCTAAATTGTAGCAACTATCATGCATCCATTTTTCTAAACTACTCCATCTGTCTTTTCATCCCCTCTCTACACTAGTTTAACATGCAGCAGAGCAGGAACCGAATATTATCTTTGGAGGATTATAGTGCAGGATTCTCATGGGCTGACCACTTGGTTTTAAACATGCAAAGCGTGGTCTGCCACAGACAACAGAATCCATGGCCTGGCCCTTCCTCCCCTGGCCAAACAGGGAGGATGGGTAAAAATCCATGGCAAGCTGCTTTGGTGGACTCAGCTGAAGAGCTGCCATGAGCTCAGTCCTCTTCAGTCTGTCAAGACAACTTCTAAGCACCTTGTGTTGGGAGGATGTTTTAGGGGTCTCCAGTGCAATCCACACAGAAGTGATACAAATGGGACTGAATTTTTGGGGGTTTCATTGGACAAAGTACACAACCAGTTATCAGCTAGATAAAGCAGTCAATACTGTTTCTGTGTTGGTAGAAAACAGGCACTTTAAGTATCCATATTACACATATGCACCAGTATTCTAGAAGTATAGAAAGCCAGCCAGTAACAGCCCTGAAATAGCTCCAGGTCTTCAGCCTGCAAGAGTTCAAATTCATTCTGAAGAAATGG